AGGTTCGAGTGGAAATGCCCAACCCCCGGGATGTGCTTTACAGGAAAATGGCTGGGCAAGGGGGATGGGCACACTTGGATTTGGCTGATGCATTGGGCTATTCCATTAAATATCCGTACCCCCCTGTCGAGGATCCCTGGAATTCTTCAGGGGTAAAGGGTTTTGAGCTTGGAATTCTTCAGGGGTAAAGTGTTTTGAGCTTGGAATTCTTCAGGGGTAAAGAGTTTTGAGTTTGGAATTCTTCAGGGGTAAAGGGTTTTGAGCTTGGAATTCTTCAGGGGGAAAGGGTTTTGAGCTTGGAATTCTTCAGGGGTAAAGAGGTTTGACTTTGAAATTTTTCAGAGCTTGGAATTCTTCAGGGCTGAAGGGTTTTCAGCTTGGAATTCTTCAGGGGTGAAAGGTTTTGAGCTTGGAATTCTTCAGGTGTAAAGAATTTTGAGCTTGGAATTCTTCAGGGGTAAAGGGTTTTGAGCTTGGAATTCTTCAGGGGTAAAGGGTTTTGAGCTTGGAATTCTTCAGGGGTAAAGGGTTTTGAGCTTGAATTTTGGAATTCTTCAGGGGTAAATGGTTTTGAGCTTGGAATTCTTCAGGGGTAAAGGATTTTGAGCTTGGAATTTTGGAATTCTTCAGGGGTAAAAGGTTTTGAGCTTGGAATTCTTCAGGGGTATAACAATGAAAAACATGTATCCTCGACAGGGGGTGTACGGATATTAAATGGAATAGCCCATTTGGCTGATGCATTAAAAGTCCTGTGCTTATTCCAGACTGCTTGTCAAATATTTACTTGCTAGAAGTAGAAATTTACTCTGACCGCTGGATGAAGAAGACATTAAATAAGTACTGGTCAACAGAAATGTATTTTATTTCATAGTATTACAATTTTATTTTTATACTATAAAAATAAAATATAAACATGCAGCATAGAATATGCAAATTCGAGGCAAAATTATTGTTGAATTGGTTTATTTATAGGATTTATAACAAATAGCAACTATAAAAGTTTGTACCTGTCTTCACATCGTAATAGCCAATGCTTTTAATTTTACATATTTTAGAATCAGTTCCTTTCCTGGTAACTGCATTTCTAAATGAAATCATCGTGAGTAGTGAGTGCTGAGCAGGCTGTTTTACTATAAACAAATTTTAGGAATTGTTATTCTTTAAAAAATATATCGTTGCACATTCGGTCACAGTCGGAAAAATGTTCATAGTATGTTGTACCGTCGTTTGCAACTAACGATGAACAGTCGCTCATAAAAACATTCGCGTGATTAGAATCTTCAACGTTTGTCAAGAACAACAACACTTAATTGTTGTTTCCCATGTGTGCAATAAAAATAAGTAACAAAACTTTGTCTGAACTTGTTGGGCTAGAGACCTACGTTGAAACTTTTACAGGTTTTTTAATGAGAATAGAGAATGTTTTATCTGCAACTGTTCACCCTTAGTTGCCACCGACGGTATTTGACAGCATAAAATTGCCTGTGGCTGTGATAACTGATATAAATAAAATACAGTCTGTTTATACTGACTTGAGCGTGTCATGACAAACTCTTTATTGGAAAATTGTGAAGAAATAGTCGAATATAGAGGGTCGAATATCATACTTAAACTTGTATAGCTACAGTATCATTGGTACATAGCGTTGTGAAGACAAGCCTTTGCTTTAATACCTTTCGCTTCAGCAGTCTTTTTTTTTCCATGCTTCTCTACGCTTTCCCAGGCGAGCTTCTCTTTCCTCAGCAGTCTCCTCGAGCAAACGTTGTCGTCTTCGCTGGCTCCCTCCTTTTCGCGAGACGTTCGGCTTTCTTTTCGTTTCCTTGCCGCTCTTCATTTGGCTCCATACAGTAGTCCATATCTTTTCAATTGGTATTTGATACCATAATTGTTTTATTAAACTCTTTATAAAGCAAATTGCTTTGAAAGCTGTCAAAGTTTTTTGCAAACGTACAAAATACTGCAGTGCAAAAAGCAAATTATTTTCATGAAGTATCTGTCAGTTGAAGTCGTGATTTGTCATACAACAACAAATTTTAAATTTGACCAATCAGTGTTCGCTATCCATGACAGTCCGCCATCTTTTTGAGATCAGTGAGGATGACCACCCACGCACAGTGACCCACGCCCGCGATATTTGATGAACTTTAGACTTGGCTAATGCTTTCGTTTCCCCGGGTGTAAATAGCCGGGGGGAATTAGTACCCTCGCACGGCGCTTCGCGCCGCCGGCTCGGGGATTATGCATTACACTATTACGTAAATCTAATTTAAGACGGCAAAGAATTGTGGTTAAACGCACCGCTGCCATCATTTTAATTATGGAGTAAATTGGATAGTAAATATTGGTCATTAATATAATGTTGATTTAAGTGTTTTGTGTATAAATCAAGTTTTATATAGTCCTAGCCAATATTTACTCGTGAGTCGAGTTTTTATTTCCAGTATGAACTTGTGCTATTCACTTCGCAGTTGGTCTGTATTTACATTTCTACCTGCATGTACTGTACCCATCTTCCAAGCTAGGGAATTTTTTTTTTGCACTATGCCTGGGAAGATTTTTTTTTCGTAATTTTTTTCTGGAAATAATTTTTTTTTTGGTTTTGCCCCCCATCACTTTTCTAATGGTCCGTCCCTAATGTAGTAGGTACAACCTTTACTCAAGATTATGGTGTTCAATAAGAGTCTGTTGTTGTACCTCCACTGGGTGGGTTTAGCTAATCTTTTATTTTCATCCAATTCACAGAGAAATTGCATTTTGACAAGAAGAAATCATTTTTCAAACCATACACAATTTTAGGTTTAGTACTTTAGTCGATGTTCATGTGAGAGAGCGATTACAATATTGGAAAGAATGGGGGGGGGGGTTGAGGATTGTTTTATGCCCAACCACATGAATCAGCAGAAGCCACTAAAGTAATGGCAGCAGAGCTTCACCAAGAATTTTTTAGACAGGTACACTATATTATTTAAGGCACAATCAATATACTAGTGATATACAGATATTATTGGATATAATATATATTATTATCTCATATTTTATTAGAGTGTAAAACGTGGAACATTTTACATAGTGACCTCTGTATAGAGATATTGGTCTGCATGCTTTGAAATGACGACTAAAGATGTATTACAAAAACATGCTTTGCAATTGTGATGATTCGCTAACTGGGAAATCTGTGTGTGTTAAATGTAAAATGCTTAGGTTCCTTGATGAAGTGTTAAGTTGTTGTTAGTTGTTTCTTGTATTGATTGTAAATCGTCTTGTGTTGGTTTGTTTCAACTGTTAAAATTATTGTAATTGTAAAGTCGCCATAATTGGAGAAACCTGTGACAAATTCCCTGGCACTATACTAGCTGAATCTCATTAAATCATCATACAGTATGTATATGTACAGGTATGCAAACTAAATATTTGTATGGTACATATAAATATTATGAGTTATAACTTTAGATCGGAACCATGTGGAAAGACATTGCCATTATTATGTGTGATAGAATCTATGAGGAGGACGATGGTGATGCAATCGTTGTTTTTGATATACAGGTCAGTTTTGATTGTACCATAGTTAATAGATTGTTTGGAAACTCATCAGAATAACAATGTAACTCATTATCTATGTTACTGAATTCATCCATTCTATCAACTATTATATTATGTATGTATGAGTAGAACATGTATCACACTTGTATCTATATTCAACTTCAAGGATTATAACACCACACAATGTCATCTGTAACATATTGAGGAAAGAAAGTGGACTACTGTAATTGTATCAAAATAGGACATTATAGTAAAAATGTAGGAAATTGGGATGGATGATTAATTGTACATGCAAGGAAATTGTACATTAGATTGTTATATTTACTTTAAAGATTAAAGTAAAGTTTAAACTATCAGTTCCTCTACATTTTTCGTTGATGTAATGTAAAAAGCCCACTCGTTTTAATCTTCGTGAAACAATTGGAACACTTTTCTTGGAACTGGTGACTATGAACATTTGGTCATCAAACATGCCTCAATGCTGATGAGAATTCTACTACCTAACCAAGGCTTTGAAAGTTCGCATAGAAGTAGATTACAGACTTTATCAACAAGCTACGAACCATGACATTTATCAAGAACAATCACCAGGTAACCATTGAAACCACTGATGTAAATTTGACTACCCAGAAGAAATTGTAATGCCAGACTCTTGCCCAATTACTGTTTTTGCCATGAAAATATGAGCATAATATATACTGCAGTCAGAACTGTAAATTTAACCCAGCAGACATTTATCAAGAACAATCACCAGGTAACCATTGAAACCAATGATGTAAATTTGACTACCCAGAAGAAATTGTAATGCCAGACTCTTGCCCAATTACTGTTTTTGCCATGAAAATATGAGCATAATATATACTGCAGTCAGAACTGTAAATTTAACCCAGCAGACCAGAAATGAATATATTATTAGGGAATTGTTTGTGCATGGTCTTGGAATTTACAAGAACAACATATAAATATAATTATTATATACACAAGGTCTGGATATGAGGTATTCTGCAATCTGATTGGTTCTCCACTAGCAGGATATTAGCTCATGGCCTGCTAGTAGAGAAAAACTGAATTTACGATGTTTTGCAAACGAGAAAACGGCAAGTTGTCGCTTTTTATAGCCTTCACAGGATTAAAAACAACACAATTAAAAAACTCCCACAAATTGTTTTCAGGTTAGCAAATAAATTTTTAATATTTAAAATGGTTAAAAATATATGTTTTTGAAAAAATAATCGGCCGAAAGAGCGAAGATAAAAACATAAACAAAATAGAAAAATATTGAAAATATTCAAAAAGCAAAGTCTGTGAATTCAGACCTTGTGTATATAATAAAACAGCTATTCCACTCACTCTCGACGAATATGAGCGATAGCCGATTCGGCGCTACGCGCCTCATCGGCTATCAGCTCATATTCGACTCGAGTTCGTAGAATAACTGTTAAATATCACAATTGATTTTCATACGTTTTGTGAAACAGATCTTGGCTCATCACTACACTGACAAATTGCTCTTCCTAAGCATGTGTTTTAGAAAGGCGGCTGAAAGTGCTAAAGCAGATGAGGATCACAGTACAACCCTCGAAATTCAACTATTTTTGCCTCAGCAAATAATTGCCGAAGTCTTTTCATAATTTTCGAGTTTGCCTTGGCAATGCCTCGGCAATTTGCTTTGCCGAGCCACGCAATGATATCACCTTAAATTCCTTCGGCAATTACTTCGGCATTCACGTCGGCAGTTCCTGATTCAAAATGTTTTTAAAAAGTTGGTAGTAATTAACAACAAATTGTATGAAAGAATAAACTTGACGGTAATCACTAGGTTTAAGGTCTAAAAGATAAAACAAAGTTTCTCGATGTGCCGTCTTTAAACCATCAAGATTGTTCTTTATTTCAGCCGAAGCTGACGCTGAAAAGCTCAAATTTAGGTATTTTGTAAAGTAGCTATGAATGAAATCTTCTGTTGTTCCCTTGTTCACTCAAAGTCGATGACAACAATTCGAACAAAGAAGTGATACAAAAAACGAACACTGTAGTTTGTAAATTTAAGCAAAAAAAAAACACGAACAAACGCTGTAGTTTGTAATTTAAGGTACAACGGGCGGAATTGCCTCGGCACTTTTTTGCCGAGGCAAACTATGAAAAATCGTAACCTGCCTCGGCATTTGCGTCGGCAATTGCCAAGTGCTGAG